GGCTACTACCGAAAGTTCGTGAAGGATTATGGAACCATCGCCAAACCCCTGACAGAGATGACTAAGAAAGGCGGGTTCACATGGACCAAAGCTAGCAAGGAGGCGTTTGGGAAACTGAAAGAAGCCATGACTACAACGCCAGTACTCGTCATGCCCAGGTTTGATGTTTTGTTCGAGGTACACACCGATGCGAGTGACATTGGAATTGGAGCTGTGCTAGTGCAAGAAGGACGACCCCTAGCCTATCTCAGCAAGGCACTGGGCACTACTCGGTTGGGTCTATCGGTGTACGTAAAGGAGATGCTAGCAGTTGTCGAGGTTGTAAGGTGCTGGAGGCCTTATCTATTGGGTCGACGTTTTCAGATTGTTACCGACCAACAACCGCTTAAGCATCTATTGGAGCAAAGGATTGTTACCCCCGAGCAGCAAAAGCTCGTATCTAAGCTTATGGTTTGATTTCGAGATAATTTATCGACCGGGTCGACAGAATGCAGTAGCTGACGCGTTATCCCGACGAACAGATGTAGCCGAGCTGAATGCTATCTCTGGGCCAACTTGGACTATTTGGGAAGAAATCAGGAAGGCGCAAGTAGAGGACACCCATTGCCAGGAGCTGCGCCAATCGATAGAAGCAGCTAAGACAACTGCTATCGATTACGAGTTGCATAACGGTCTACTTCTACACCGAGGTCGAGTCTACATTCCCGACAGTGGGCAGTTACGCGAGCAGATCATGCAGCACTTTCATGACTCTAAAATTGGAGGCCATTCGGGTATTTACCGCATGTGGATGCGAATAGCCAACACTTTATTCTGGCCTGGATTGTAGAATACCGTCCGAGATTACATAGCACGGTGCGACGATTTTCAGCGCACTAAGTCTGACTCACGACGACCGAGCGGGCTGTTTCAACCTCTACCGGTACCCGAGGCAATCTGGGAGGACATTACTATGGATTTCATAGAGGGGATACCGAGTTCTAATGGGTTCGACGGTGTTATGGTTGTAGTGGATCGCCTCTCGAAGTATGCTCACTTCATACCCGTTACCCATGCTTACACCGCAAAGTCAATTGCCAGGCTATTTGTGGAGTATGTAATAAAACTGCATGGAGCCCCACGATCCATCGTCTCTGATCGAGACCGGATTTTTATGAGCAACTTTTGGTCTGAATTTTTCAAGTTGCAAGGGACTAAGTTATCTATGAGCTCAGCCTACCACCCACAGACAGACGGACAAACTAAGGTAACCAACCGAACCCTTGAGCAGTATTTGAGGTGCTACGTCCATCAATTCCCAAAGCAGTGGGAAAACTTTTTGCCTTGGGCAGAGTATTGGTACAACACCACTTACCACGAGTCGACCAAGATGACGCCATTTGAGTTGGTATACGGGCGAAAACCCCCAACGCTGATCAAATATTCGGAGGGGAGTACAGTCAACGATGAGGTTGGTCGAGAACTAGAGGAACGAGATTTGATGTTACTTGAGCTGAAGAAAAATCTCGAAGGCTCAATTCACCGAACCAAAGCCTTCGCAAATGGGAAAAGGCGTGAGGAAAGTTTTTCGCCAGGCGAGTATGTCTACCTGAAGTTACGACCATTCAGACAGCGCACCACGGCACAAAGGGCCGCAACTAAACTGGGCGTTCATTATTATGGGCCTTATCAGATTCTAAAGCGCATTGGTCAGGTAGCTTACCGTCTAGAAATACCGGAAAGTTCACAAATCCACCCAGTTATCCATGTCTCGCAACTAAAGAGGAGCTTAGGAGAAGCCCAGAAGTATTGTGAGGAGTTACCTGCAACCGCAACTGATGGAAGGGTCATAGTACGACCAAAACGAGCAATTGAGTACCGAAAGGTAAAAAGAACAGGGCGCTATCGTTGGGAAGTACTAGTTGACTGGGAAGAGTTGCCATCCGAGGAAGCCACATGGGAGGATCTTGACGAGATGCGTGACCAATTCCCGAATTTCATCCTTGAGGACAAGGAAGCACTTGAAGGGGACGGGAATGATGTGGAAGTGGCTTGGCAGCTCAAGAACGCCGCAAGTCGAGCCCCATGCACGCAGGAGACAAGCACGGTTGACTAAAAAAGTGCGCGCACTAGAGCGTAGTGTGCGCAGAACAAGCGAGAACGGGCCGCACACGGATGTGCGCGCGGTGCGCACGGATGGCGTGCATGGCGAAAGTGGGCAGGACGCGCAGGCCGCAATGCTGGCCAGCGCGATCGCGGGAGGTCCGCGCAGCGAGGAAGAACGCGCATCCTCATGCCTCGAGGTGTGCGGAATGGTGGGGAGGCACGCGCGCGAAGAGGCAGCCGGGGGCGGTAGCACGCACGATACGCTGGATGGGGGAGCACGCGCGATGCGCGAGACCATACTCCTAGAGGAATGCAGAGTGGCGGAGCAGCATGCGCACGGTAAGGCGGCCAGCGGCATTAACGTGCGCGACACGCCGGGCGGGTGCGCATGCGTGGAGAAGGAAGGCGGTGCCCTAGTCCTCGAGGACTAGGGCGTGCGAGGCGGTACGCCAAAGGCGGTGCGCGCGAGGGGCCGAGAGGCGGTTAGAAGATTTAGAGTGCAAGATATTTAGTTTCCAACTAGCATTATAATTAGGACACTTAATATTTTATTGCTTTATTTGTTCCCTAAGTAGATTAGGCCTAAATACAATTTTGTGCCTATAAAAAGGCCCTTACCCCATGTTATTTTTCATCATTCAAGAAGTCAATAAAAATCTAGAACTTTGTTGTAACACCCCACTTTGATTTTAAAGAAATTTCGGATTTTCCAAAAAATCAATATAATTTTTCTTTCAAAATATTTTCTTAATTATGTGGGTGTTAACTAACATTTTTCATATCCCAAGTCTTATCTGGGCCTACGGGGATTCATTACCCGGTTTTCACAATCGGTTTTCATTAACCAACATCAACTCATGAAATAAATAACCAAACATCAATCCCAAATCAACAAAGGTTCATAAGTTTCAAAAACCAACACACAAGGTTCGAAAATAGTTTGCACAAAACATAACGTGCAACAAACTTATTCAAGTTCAGCGGAAGCAATTAAAACGCATAAGTAATTAGACCGACCCAACTCGTCCCTTCCTCGTCACCCGGCTGTCGCTTAATCTGCATCGGTGAAGAGCAGGTAGGGATGAGCACAAGATGATAAACGTGCTCACCACTATGCACATATATAATAATAACAGTTGGCATGGTTAGAGTATGAACATAAAGCAATCATTTGTCACGTCTCCAACTCACATCACATCATAACATATTACCCACGTGTACACATCTCTCATTAGCCAAGGATAGGGGATTCATTACCCTAACTCATGGGGGTACGTGCCACTGTAACGGACACGACCTTTCATTAGGTCTTACGGAGACTTGCCTCGCAAGAGCAACCGTACCGTAACTCGACGTGGACAACCGTACCGACGACCGACATCGGCTCACGCTGATAGACTACATGATTTACATACATACTAAAATCATACCATCTCAACAAGAAACACACATATATGGCATAGCAAGTTTTGAATAAGTAAACTCACCTGGATTTTGGATCGACGATAGCAAATTCAAAAAGGACGTAGGTCGAGGCTTGACTCCTCAAAAACCTACATTAAGTCAAGATCCTACAATTATTATCTATCCAGACTTAAATAGAAAACACAAATCAGACTTAGTCGAACTTGGTTCGACTAAGTTATTCGTGAAGTCCTGTGGACGTTGGAACACTTAGACTCGACACTATACTCAAACAAATCATACATCGTTGTTCACATAAATCATAGTAATGATTGACCAAGTCCAACAAACAAGAACAGAAAGTATGACGATTTACAGTTTTTAACATAAAAATCATATTTCACAATCACTAGCCAATAATCACTAAAATTAAGTTGAATAGGTTTCCCTATGAACTAGACTTTGCAATTTTAACCAAAAATACAATCCCCAATACTTAGAAAAATCACCAAGTTTCAGCCTCAAATTCAAAGTACATGATTTTACAAAATTCAAATACGGTATCAGTAAAAACGAGCATAGAATTCAAAGCCTAATCCAACGAACGAATCAACACATGAGATTTTTACCAGAGCAAGTTCAGCAACTAAGGATTAACATATACAAATTCCAGCAATTAACATCAAATACACAAATTATGAAAATTCATACAAGATTCAGCAGTTTATGAAATATTAACTAAAACCGAACCAATTTGAGCTCTAAAAATTTTAATCTTTTTACAACATGACACTCTACATAAAACAAGCTTCTCAGCAAAATATCAGAATTTTTTTAGCAAATACCGATTTATCATAAGTAAAAACGTCTTTCTGCAAAAAAATTAAAAAAATTATTTACCCTATCAATCTCAGTATAAAAATTATAAAAATTTTACACAACCTCATAATAATATAGAAAAACAACATACTAAAATTTCATAAAGTTTAGAGCACAACTCAATTTATTATGAATTAAATATGAATCTGACTAGAAATTACAATAATTTTTAAAAATAGCTACAGACCTCCGAAAATTCTAAAATTTGTATACGAGCTATATAATGGCCAGGGGCATGTACTGTTAAAATTTCGCAGCAACCGGATCAGTATATATTATTTAAAAATTCGAGCACCAAAACAGCGAGCATACGAGGTAATTAATTCAAGCACGGCTCAACAAGACTCGAATTTGTTCCGAGGCCTTCACATAAGACCAAGAACACGTTGTTCCAACTCCTACAGCCACTTAACACGAGTTTAATGAGAATCTCATTCGATTTCACGAAATCGAAAGGACCCACTACACACGATAACCATATAAATTCAAACGAACACATAAAATCATAGGACGTATAAGTTAGTTCATAGTACATGCCAAACACGTCTAATAAACACGTAGTGAACACCATAACAATAAACACGTAAGAATTAGACGTAAGAGAATTCGGGCCTCGGTACCGTTCTCGAGAAAAACTTGGAGAAAGGGGACGGGGCACGAACGGGGATGACGGGACCAAGGCTCGACGGCTTCTCGCGTCTCGTCGGAAGGAAGGTGCAGTAGCGGCATGACCAGCAAGGGCCCGGGACCTGCGACAATGCTCAGCAATCACGGACATCAGCACTTGAACAGAGACGTCGTTCGAAGGTTCACAACCGGGGCTGGAACTTGTCGCTGGCGATGATGACATGCTCGAGATTGCACGAACAACGACGACAATGGAAGAAGCTCGCCGGGACCTGAACACACGACATGGACGAAGGGTAGCGGCCGGAAAACAAGGGCCTGGTTGATGATGATGGCCGTTGGAAACGTCCGATGACGGAGGGGAGAACTTGCTGGAACAACGCCGAAAGGGCCTGACGGGATGATGGTGACTTTCCTGACGATGGTGGTAGAGAGAAAAGATGATAAAGGATGATGGTGAAGATGGACGTTCGAAAATCTTCCCTTGATCTGCTGCTTGATCGAACGAGAGAGAGAGGAGAGCGACGAGATATGGAGCAGATTTCTCCTTTTGAGTTATTAGGGTCTGCGTGAGGGATGAGAGATCACAAAAGTTGTGGGCTTTAAGATGCTGATGGGGTTAGGAAATTTACTTAAATACATAAGATTAGGTTCAATTAATATTTTTCTGGCTCCCAAGAATTAAGCCCACGCACAAGACTTGAGGAGAAAATCGGTTCGGCTTAGCCGGGCCAGTTCGGCTCGCGGTCTTGAGATAATAACTCGATCTCGGG